TTTTTTTCGTTCTGTGAATTAGAATGCCCATTATTGTCAGAGAAAGGTGCCAACAGCCACTTCTCTCAGTCGTCTTTGGCACCCTTCCTCTTCTGTCACAGTGTACTTCCTCCTGGGTTACCCAATCACAGAAAAGAAACGGGAAAATTTCGGAAATGCCCCTCCTACGTCCATTTATTCGTGTATGCCCCTTTGACATATGGACTTACCCTGTCGCGCCCCTCTGACAAAAAAAAAACCCTTGGCTCGTTTGGTCCTGAAATATGTTCAATATAACCCTGTAGTTCCAAATTTATGCCCTGGTAGCTACCCTCCCAGGGCCAGGGGAACGGCGGCCAGTGCCACCAACGGCCAAAGAGGTATGCTGGAGAGTTGCACCTCTCACTGACAGGGTCCTGCAGGAAACTTCAGAGGCCCCAGGGTCAGTACAGGTAAGTCGGCCGTACACAGCGCATACCGGATATAAATGGAAGTCGGAGGGGCATTTCGAAAAAAACTCCAAAAACAAAACACAAACTAACTGCTCCTTCTCCTTCTGGGCCAGCAGGAGACGAAGCAGTTGTTTTCTTTGTTTTTTATTTTTTCCTGTAGTTGGGTAAGCGGGAAAACTAGGGCTGCGTGGCACCTTTCGTTGCGTCAGAGGATGGATGCGATTTCATCAGGGCAGAGGTCGAGTGTTGACCACTTTCTGTCCCTAGATCTTTCCTGACCTCTGTTTGTGTCAGAGGTTACTGGGTGATTGGTTTTCTAGGTTTCTCACCCACTAGGCTGTAAGCGAAACCGGCTGATGCTGCCAGGATAACTCCGGGTTGAATTCTGACGTCACCGGCCTCATGTTCGTGTTTTGCAATAAAGGTGTAATTTCTGTTTAAAAAAAAAAAAAAAAAAAAAAAAAAAAAAAAAAAAAAAAAAACTGCGGCTTTTACCCATCCTTTTCAGCATCCCCTTCTTCCCAAACTCATTCCACTCGCCCTTTCTCTGCTCTCCCTTTTCCTCCTTGTACTCCTGGTTCTCTATCCATCCAGTTGTTGCAGTACTAGCCTACACTCTCTCCTCTCCTCCTCCATCTTCTTCTTCCTCGTCACTCGCCCTTTCTCTTCTCCCCCTTTTCCTCCTCGTACTCCTCGTTTTCTATCCAATCACTTGTTGCAGTACTAGCCTACAGTCTCTCCTCTCCTCCTCCATCTTCTTCTTCCTCGTCCGCTTTTGTTCTCGGTTGCATGACTCCTGTCAACCTTATCAAGTTTTCAGCTTGGTTCTAATGCTGCCTCTATTCGCCTTGTAGTCCATGACTTATAGAGATGGGAGGAGGGGGAAGGCAGGAGGTATATATCTATCTATCTATCTATATATATACTCTTCCTAATTCTTCTTTCTAACTTTTTTCTTCTTTCTTTTGCTTTGGTCTTCCTTATTGTTGGGGTATTTCGTTTTAGGGACCTGCTGTATGGTTCCGTGTTTTCAAGTGTGGTTATGGTAGAATTGTTGGTATTTTTGGTACCCTTTGTCTGCATCCGGGTTGGTTTTGTCTCGTTATTCCGTCCACGTGGCGGTGTTTTCATGTGGGTTGTTCTTCATGTGGGACTTGTCGTACGGGTTTTTTCTTTTGGCATCCTAGTTGATGGGTTCTTGTTGTTTGGCCTATTGATGGGGGCGGTGCTTTTAGGTGGGAATGGTCATCTGGGATTGTCTTTATATAGTTATTTTTGCAGGCAAGGTTGTTGATTGATATCCTGGTTGGTCATTGTCCCGTCTTTTGGCCTGTAATGTAGGGGCGGTGCTTGCATGTGGGACTTGTCATCTAGGATTTGTTATGTTTGTTTTCTGACAACCTTGTTTGCATCCTGCTTGGTTTTGTCCCTGTAGCGGTGCTTTCATGTGGGACCAATCACCCAGGTTTTTCCATTGTTCGGCCTATGAGCGCATGAATGGTGTAGGAATAGGAATGCCAACTTCTTGATGACGAACAAGGCCATCGGCTGTATATAGATATGTATTTGGGTTTCTTCTTTTGCAGGCAAGAGTGTTTTGATATCCTGGTTGGCCTGTGAAGTTCGGGGCGGTGCTTGTATGTGGAGCTTGTCATCCAGGATCTTGCTGCCCCCTGTTTTGTTATATTTGGCTGTTCCCTTCCTCTTTTCTTTGCCTCTTTGCCTTCTGGCTGTGAGCAAGTGGGTCGATATGACACACGGGGGTGGGGGCAGCCGCCGCTCAACCACATCCACATGGGCGGTCTTGTACGCAAGAGGTTCTGAACAGGGGGAGTTGTAAGTAAGAAGATAAAAAAAGAATTGATATCTTTTTTTTGTTCTCGTTGTTTTTTCGCTTTTGCGCTCTGTGCCCTCTGTGACGATATATCTATATCTATATCTATATATATATATATTAAGATATATCTATATATGTTTGTGACGATATATATATATATATATATATATATATATATATATATATATATATGTTTGTGACGATATATATGTATATATGTATATCGTCACAAACAGAACTGCCCGGTAAACCGTAGGCAGAGAGAGAGAAGAGGACAACAAACGAGGGGCTGTGACAAACTGTTTCGTC